GAGCACGGGGCTCGGATTACAGGCTTTGTGTCTAATCCATTTCTGCTCAAACTGTGCATCCTGGGCCCAATCTCTGTGAGCCTTAGTTCCTTCACCTGGGACATCAGTGACATGGACATAGGCGCAATTGACGATGGTGTTTCCAAAATTAAATTCAAAAGCATATAAAAACACTTGTATTTTCTTCAATTGTCTACCAGGAGCTGATATGCTCTTGATTTTCCTCCTGCCTCACTGGTTGGTCCACCTCAGTTGCTTTGCCAGTTCTTCCTCATCTTTCCAACCTCTATAGATTGAGTTCAGTCCTTGGACTTCTGCTTTCCATCTCTACTTACACCCTTGATGATCTTATTCAGTCATACGGCTTTTGATATAGGCTGATGGCTCCCACATTTCTATCCCCAGCCCAGAACTCTCCCTTGAACTCCAAACTTATATTTGCAACTGCCTACTCATCATCTCAGCTCAGGTGACAAACAGGCATCTCAAACTGTACATTTCAGCCCTGCCTTCTTGCAACCCTTTCTTGTTCAATAAATGGCAATTCCATCTTTTCAGCTGGTTGGATGCAAATCATACAGTCATCCATGACTTGTCCCTTTAGTATATTCCATCCATTCCATCAGCAAATTATGTGAGTTTTATCTTCAAAAGCTATCCCAAATCAGATTATTTTTCACCACATCCACTGCTACCACCTGATGCAAGTCAACATTATATCTCACCTGGATTCTTGCTATAGTCCCCTAAGTCTCCATGGTCCTGGTCTTTCCTCCTTCAGCCTCAGTCTGTTTTTAACACAAGCAGACACAGTGATAGTTAAAATATAAATTATCATGTCATGCCTCTCCACAAGATCCTCTAATTTCTACCCACTGCATTCCGAGAAATTACTGTTCTACATCATTTACTATTAAAAGGTGATTATAACAGTGCCTACTTCATAGGCTGTTGTGAGGTTGAGTCAATATATGTAAAGAATTTAGACAAGGTTGAGTCAATATATGTAAAAAATTTAGACGTAGTACTCTCTATTTACTACGTATCAAGCACTGCACTAAATGCTTTATACATAGTAATTCTTTATGAATTAGCTCATTAATTCTCATAAGAATTTTGAGATGTGTACTGTTATAATACCCACTTTATAGATGAAGGAACTACCTTACAGATGGATTAAATAACTCCTCCACAGGAGTTATTCTGCCACAGCTAGTGCTCAGCAGAATTGAGTTCCAATCCAGGCCATGAGCCTCCAAAGGCTGTGCTTTCACTACCCTGCTTACTGAGTAAGATGTAGGTGGTAAATAATACCCCATCATATGGAGGGACCATTGATTTACTTCCTAATTCCTCACTAAGTCCTCTAGTCATTGCAGATGTTCTCACTTAAGCTAATAAAGTTTGAGCCTCCCTCTCAAACTTTACAATCCATACAACTAGCATCTATATCTAACCAAGCTCAGGAGGAGGAGGAGAAATATTAGAAAATAATTGTCCCATTCTTTTTCCAAAACAGTTTATCAGATTAGATAAAAGAATACTAGGAACTAAGCTGGATGGGGAGGAGAGAGTAGGTGGCTTGTTCAGAGGAGCAGGTCAAAAGGGGACTCAGTCCCAAGGGGATGCCTGGCGGGAGCACCGGGCCCTAATTGGGAAGGGAAGCTGACGCACAGACAATAGAGACATGGAAAGAGAGTGGAGAAGAAAGTGGCAAAGACAGAAATCATCTAGGTTGATGCAACTGAGTCCTTTTCTAAATCAACACACCTTCCCACCCCAGCTTTGCCCCAGTCCAGCCTGGGCTGCTTGCTGCAGGCACCCCAGTCAAGAGAAAAGAACCTGGATATTCAAGCCAGTTCCAGCATTTACTAAACAAAATAATTGGCCTCTGTAAAAGACAAAAACAAACAAACAAAAATTCAAACAGTAGCTCTGAGGATTTAAAAAGGTAACCCGTGCAATATCCCAGTTTAGTATCTAGCTCCTTAGTAGATACTCAAATCTTAAACATTACCCCAGCACATGCCCAGAGCATGCTCAGCCAGCTTTCTCAACACACACTAAATCCATAACTTCTTGCACATTCGCATGTCTATTTTTTACTTGTCATTTATTACATCTAATTCAATTCAGCAAAGATCTTTATAGGATGCCAAGCGCTAAAGAGAGGGCTAGGATTCAATAGGACCAGATCCTACTTGCTCCCTCTCCCCTAAACCTTGTAGCCTACAGTGGAGACTAGTGATAAAATATGATGCAGATAATGAGCATTCCAATAAGAGAAATACATGAGCTGTCAGAACACATGTAGCATATCCCATAGTAAATGCATATACAAGATCTACATCATTTATGTCATGTCGAGACTCAGCGATCAAGTACAAACACCCTCAATAGATATCCACAAAAGACATCACGATGGAGCTGGTTTTTATGTGGAGAGTAGATGCAAAGTTAACACACAACTGAAAACCACATAATCACTCACATTTTTAAAAAATCCCTAAATTACCCATAAAATAAAGTACATGTGGTTTTGATGTACAACCATGTATAGTTATGTGTATGTAAAAAATAATCCATAATAGTAAAGAACATTTAATAAAAAATAAATATGTAAGTTTATGTATTTTTATTATACAGTACAAAAGAGATCAAAAGTTGAATTTGAAAAAGGTTGCCAAATCAACATTCTTCACGTAAAAACTTTCAGTATATGTGCATGTTTATTTCTGATAAATAAAGAGCTAATGGGTCAGGATACAGCTGCTATGCAAAGCACATTCACACTCTTTAACCACCCTGGACTTTTCTCAAAAAGTGTAAGAATCTTGAACAATGCGGGTTAGAACTGCACAGATCCATTTATATGAGGCTTTTTTTTTTCAATAAGTACTGTATATACAGTACTGCAAATGTATTTTCTATTCCTTATTATTTTCTTAATGACATTTTTCTCTTCTCTAGCTTACTTTATTGTAAAAATACAGCATATAGGACATCCAATATATAAAATGTGTGTTAATCAACTATGTTATCAGTAAAGCTTCTGTCAACACTAGGCTATTACAAGTTTGGGGGGAGTCAAAGTTATATGCAAAGTTAGACTGCATGGTGTCCTTATCCCCACATTGTTCAAGTGTCAAATGTAAAGCAACAGACTCAGTAAATTGTCCTTTGGTTCTTCTAGGATCTGAGCAACCTTAAAAAGTAATAGAAAGAAAACTAGCTCCCAAAGCCTTATGAGCCTTATATCCTTGGACAAGTGATAGAATCATAAAATCTCAAGGTTTTAAGGGAACTTAAAGATCACTGGTCCAACCTCTCATTAGAGTTTTGTTCCCTCCCAAAGGGGTCAAAATGCCTCTACTTCATGAAAATGTTTATATCATTTGACCTAAAAATTCCACTTCAGGTAACCCATGCTAAGGAAATAATGTATAAAATGGTCAAATATTTATGTACAAAGATAGTCACTGAAGTTCTGCTTAGCCAAAAAAATGGAAACAACTTAAACTTCCAACAATAAAGGAACAGTAGAAGAAAAACTATAATGCCTTCATAAAGTTGACTATGAAAAGTTTAATGATGTGGGAAAATATAGTATTAAATAATAATATAAAATGTAGATTGTCATCTCAATTATATTAAAATGGATTTTAAGTACCTAGAAATATATCTGAAATGCTAACATTATTGGTATATAAATGTTGGGTTACAAAGGGTTTTTTCTCTTTATATCTTAATGTGTTTTATATCTTAGTGTGTTTTTATGAGAGCATTTATAAATTTTATAATCTAGATTTTGGCAACCCCTTGCACCCTCCAAAAAAGAAAAGAAGGAAAACAATTAGAACAAAAACAACCCTGAAATAGGCAAAGGCAAAAAGTGCTGTACAGTCGCTTAGGTCTATTTGCAGACGAGATCCTGAAACCTAGTACGATGACTAAAGGCAGAATTTCCATGAGAATCTCATTTTTATTCCTACTAACTCTACAGAAACTGCAGTCCTTATGGTTGACTCAACATGAGCAAACAAGAGTGACAGACTTTTCTGAGTTGGACAGTGTCTCTCATTCTCTGCTCTTCCTTGGTATTGTATGGCCAAGGAAAATATTCCTCTCTCTCATTTCTATGGGCCACCGCAGTTCAGGAGACTCCTTCCTGTACATTCTCATCTTGAGCCTCATAGCAGCACTGAAAAGTGGCAAAGTGAGGATAATCTAAAGCTCTATGATGCGAATGGGGCTGCCCTGAGTCACTGGTCATGACCAGAGCCTCAGGACTCAAAGGCAGCTTTGGGGCTCCAGGCCTGGCCCTTATCGATGGCAGGCATCCAGGGACCTCACTGGTAAAGCTGAGGAAGACTGGTCAGTTATTCAGCCTAACAGTGGTCTTACCATAAGCTCAGCTGTGTCCATTTAAACCTATCACACCTGTAAGATTTCACACCTATTACAGGCATTCTGCAGAGATAGTGCAATTCATTGGAGACTGCGCCGATAAAGCGAGTAAATAATACAAACTCTCCCGCACCACCGCCCCGCGCCGCCCTCCTTTTTTCCCCAACTCCCCTTTCCAGTGAACACAGGAGGTGGGGGGGAGGGGAGGCTGTCACTAGGTTGTACCAGCACTAAAACTTATATACTAGAACTATGTACTTCTATATATATAAAGGTTATGGTAAATCGTCCTCTTATCAACAAATAAAACGCTTAAACAAGTTTTAATTTTCTCATCTGTCAAATGGATTGAAAGGTGTCTGCCCGTCCCACCCTTTCCACGTCACGTGGTTGTTTAGGGATCAACTGAGGGGAAAAACACTGTGAGAGAGCACTTGGCCTACTAGCTGCTCTTTTCTTAGATAAGATGCTATAAAATGAAAACCCAAAGGCTGAGCCTCGGGCCTCCGTGGATTCCCCGGGAGCAAGGAAGCTAAACTGAAGCATTCCTTTCCCACCGCACACCTAACGTGATTCTGGCTGCTCTCGCCTACCTAGCAGAAATGGCCGGGTACAGTCGCTGCGAACCAAAGACCACAGTCCCGCTGCAGCCATAAAGGGGACTGAAACCGCCAGTGAGCAACAAGGCAGGAGGGTGAAGTCCCGCACCCGCGGGCGCCGAGGCGGGGCAGGAGGCCAGGCTCAGGGCGCCTGCGCGCGCAGCTGTCTCGGAATAAATAAATAACCGCGCGGGCGGGCGGTGGCCCCAGCTTGGCGCCCCGCCCGGCCTGGCTCGGCTCGCAGCTCACGTAGCGAGAACGTGAGTCAGCGCTTCGACCGCAGCCCTGAGCCGGGGGAGGGTTCCCTCGCGCCGCGCCGGCCGCCGGCACGTACCGCCGCCGCTGTCTGCCCGTCGCCCAGCCCGCGAGCCGCTCGCCTCCGCGCCGGGCCCGACCGCGGGAGGGGCGTCTGGGTTACGCGGCTCGTTGGGCCCCAAGGTGGCCCCTCAAAAGCCTGGTTCCCGTACGCGCTTGCCAGCCCGGAAGAAAGGAGGGGAAACAGAGTGAAGGGCAGGACAGATCCAAGCCCATGGTCCTTCTTCACTGGAACTCGACCTTCCACTTGTCCCTGTGTGCTTTCCCTGTTTGACCAGCACACTGCTGGTTCTCGTTTCACCCGATTCAGTTCTTTCCCACCCTCAACCCCCCACCCCTGCGGAGGCGGACGGAGAAGGAACTGGTGGGGGGTTGGGCGCTGCCGGGGTCGTGCCTAGGGCAGACCGGGGAGGCCGAGGCCAGCAAATTAAGGGGGAACTCACTTATCAACTTCATCTGCTGTGCAGCGGGGGATTTACTCAAGTCAGTCTGCATTTCCTCAACTCGGCACCTGTTTAGCTACAGCCACCAACTTTCTAAGAGGAAGTTGCCTACGTGCCTGGCTGCTGCAAGACAGGATTGGAAGTACTATTGACTAAACGTGTGAACCTAGCAGGGCCTCCCGTTCAGCTCTAGACCCACGGGAGTGCAAAAGTGGGTTCAGGGCAGGAAAAATTTCAAGTTCTCTTTTGCCCTTTGTTAAAATATTCTTTCCCGAGTTAGGACATATTAAAGTTTTCCTCTCCGTGCATCTTTAATATAACGATGTCACTTTTTCAAAACCTGTTCGAGGGGCAGGAATGTATGGAGAGGGACACAAGAGAAGGATGCAATGAAAAGATGGATACTGGGAAAGGGGAAAAGAAAAGTTAATTAGGTAAGGAGCATTGAACAAGGAGTAAAGTGATGACCAGAACATTATTGACCTCCTAATGGACCTCAGGCATGTCTGAACACTGGAAATGCAAAATAAGTGGTTTGTCAGGGTCCCTGCTCTCTGGGGGTCATTACAGGAGACAGTGCAATGGTTCACAGGCAAGAACTGGGATGTCCAAGTTCCTATGCCAGCTCTGTGACTTTAGCCAACTGATTGCCCCCAACCCACTTCACTTGCCTTGTTTGAGAAATGAAAATGGGGGAAACAGTACTTTTTAGGACTTTTCACAGAACTAACTACATCAATACAAGCAAAGCACTTTAAAAATACCCTGCACCCACTAGGCACTCACTAAATATTGTTAGAAGAATGAGTGAAGAAGACAGGCAGGGCCACCAAGCACAACCAAGTACTTGCACAACTCCAGAAGGTACATACAAGTAGATGTGAATGGAACTTGCCAGAGCTGTGCAATGTAGTAGTCCTGAGTGCAAGTATGTCTGCTCTTAATAACAAAAAATTGAAATTCAAATGCACTTATTTATAGATAAAATGTGGTACATTCATGCAAAAGAATACTATTAGAGCTATTAAAAGCAATGTTACAACTACTGTATCAAAATGGATACATCTCAAAAATTATTGAATAAGAAACAGTAACTTGCAAAATCATACATGCAGCATGATGCTGTTTATATTAAGAAATCATGCTGCATGATTTCCTGTATTTTTCCTGTATTTTATATATGTATGTATTTTTTTAAATTCCAGAAGACTACACAACCAAATTTAAAGGTACCTCTGGATGGAAAGCAGGAATTGGGATTTGAAATGGTGGTCATTAGCTTATTCCATATCATGCTAATTGCTTCAAAAAAGCCAATGTCCTTATATATCATGTAGTTTTGTGGGTTTTTTAAAGGTATAGACATATAAAATTAAACTAGAAATAAATATGTCAACACTGGATAATTCTGGGTTCCAGGAACATGAGTGATCATTATTTTTTCTTTTGTACTTTTCTGCATAGATTAAAAATAATTACAACCTTGCCAAGAAAGGTGTGAGTCTAAAGGTCCTGTCTTGGGGAAAGCTAGGCTTGCATGTCCAGAGCCTTTGGTCACAACAATGGACAGCGCTGGCTTCTCGAGACCTATGTTCTAACTGCACGCTGGGTAGGAGTGGGTAGCTCTGGCATACCAGGACTAGACAGGGGTCTGGGCCAGGGCTTCCCTAGCATAGTGCTACTGGTGCGTATGCTTTGCAAGTTCCTCTTAGGAATTTGAGCCTACATAAAATACGGCATTCCAGTGCCTGATGAAATAGTGGGTGACTGCCCAGCCCCTGAGCGAGAGCACTGTTCTCTGTGTGTCACCTACAATACTGAAAGTTTAAGTGGGCTACTTAATATCATACAACGATGGCAAAGGCTAAACTGGAAAGCACATCCAACTCCCATCTTTGAGCACCTGCTCTTCTCCCCAGCCTCTGCTGAGCACATTTTTATGGGTGTTGCCCTCTTTCAGAGCAGCTCAGCATAGTGGTCAGGATTCCAGGCTTTGCAGTCACTCAGACCTAGGCTCCAGATGCCAATGACGATTTGGAGCAAGTTACTCAACTTCTCTGAGCCTCTGTTTCCTCTCCTGTGAAGTGGGGATAAGAGTGATGCTCAGAGGACCGATTGGTGCCCTCAGTCAATGGTGCCTAGGTGTGGATCAGGAAGAGAAGGATTTTGGTAACAGAAATGGTTTTAAAGAGGAGATTGTTTCTTATCCTGTGGCAACATTTTACTCTAGTAAAGGGTTAAATAGCTGTGTAGAAAAATAATGAAACTCCTTGCCTCAGTCACATGGAACTGAACTTGATATTGATGTTTTAGAGAGTTTTAGGCCCAGGAACAGTTGTTCCAAGAGCACCCACCCCTGCCCTCACTCCTTAAAAGAATCAGTTGTGGTTTTGTTTCTTAATAGCTGAAATGACTCGCTGTCCACCCCTATCTCCAAACAGGATGCTCTTACATTTCAAAACATCACCCAGACACCAGAGTCTTTTCTGAAGGAAGAAAACAGAACTTTTGATTAAGTGAAACCCACTAAAAATTCCTTCTCCCTTGGTTGCTTTCTCCCTGGCACTCATACACAAAAATGTCTAAGGGATTCTTTAACTCAGTCATGCTGAAAATCCATGATTTAAATTGGATTCCCAGCTGCTCCTTCAGAACAGGTTGCATGAGATGTTGTTCAATCCAACTAGCCCTGGGGAGGGGTAAACACGTACTGCTGAATGGTGGGACGTGCAGAACATCAGGAGAACATAACCAGGCAGAGTTAAGCATGTGCTGTGACTAATAAAGCAGGACCTGGGGTGTGGTTGCCATGAGCGAAAGCAACTCCCCACAGGGCCCCAGTACCTAAGAGAGTTCAGGAAAACAACTTCTGACTCCCAGGCAGTGTCTACCCAGCCAGGGTGAAGGTGTCTTCAGTTATCACATTGGTGCTTTTCTAAGCTGCCCTTCAGTGTTTGTTCAGGAAAAGGAAGCTGCCCTAGGGGGTCTAAGTGATCTGTGTGAGTAAGCCACCTATCTAAGAAGCCAGCAGCCCATCCCACAGCAAGACAGATAAGCCTCCACCCTGGGCCCTAGACTGAGCAGAGTTTCGGACATTTTCCAGGCATCGCCAGCCCAACCCTCCTCCCTGGCTCAGCATGTAGGAAGGGCTCCTGGCACAGGGCTTTATCACTGGCATGAGTAACTTTCCTCTACCTTCCAGGATGGCACTGGCCTCTTCACCAAATGCAGTTGGTTTTATTTTTTAAAATATTGGTGGTGGGGATTGCACATTTTTGCTTTCTGTTTTGTTTGGGTTTGGGGGGTATTTTTTCTGGTATAGAATACATGTAAATTATAAAAAGGCACTTAGAGAAAATAGAAATATTTGAAGAAGAAAATATCAACCACATCTGTACTGGGTTAACCAGTAACTCCCCAAAATTCACATCCACCTAGCACCTGTGTAAGTGACCTGTGTATGGAAATAGGATCACTGCAGATTTTTTCAGTCGTTTTTATTTATTTTTTAAATTTTTATTGTATTTTTTTACATTACAGTTTAGTCCCCTCATATCCCCCTCCGCCCGGCAGTCACTACACTGTTGTCCATGTCCATGAGTTCTTTTTTGTTTTTGTTCAATCCCTCCACCCTGTAACCTCCACCTCCCCCCACTAGCTGTTATCTGTTCTCCATCTATTAAATGTCTCTGTTTTGCTTATTCAGTTTGTTCATTAGATTCCACATACCAGTAAAATCATACAGTATTTGTCTTTCTCTGACTAGCTTATTTCACTTAGCGTAATGTTCTCTAGGCCCATCCACACTGTTGCAAAGGATAAAATTTTCTTCTTTCTTATAGCTGGGTAGTATTCCATTGTATAAATGTCCCGCAGTTGTTTTATCCACTCACCTATTGATGAACACAGGCTGCTTCCATATCTTGGTGATTGTAAATAACGTTGCAATGAACATAGGGATGCTTATGTTATTTCAAATTGGTGTTTTGGGTTTCTTTGGATATATTTCCAGAAATGGGGTTGCTGAGTCAAAAGGCAGATCCATTTTTAATTTTTTGACATATCTCCATATTGCTTTCCATAGTGGCTGAACCAGCCAGCAGTGCAAAAGAATTCCCCTTTCTCTACATCCTCACCAATACTTGTTGTTTGTTATTTATTGATGATAGACTTTCTGAAAGGCATGAGGTGATATCTCATTGTGATTTTAATTTGCATTTCTCTCATGATTAGAGACATTGAGCAGTTTTTTATGTCTATTGGCAATCTGTATGTCTTCTTCAAAGAAGTGTCTATTTGGGTCCTTTGCCCATTTTTTAATTGTATTTTTTGTTTTTCTGGTGCTGA